TTCTAACTTCTTAAACTGGTCTTTCTGGCCAGTCAATCTATTTTGGGATTTGGCATTGATGACAGTTATTATAATAATATAATAATAACCCTTGCATTTGATATAGCGCTTTTCGTGTCTTCTTGATGTCTCAAAGCACTTCACAGAATATGCTGTAAAGTGAATTGACTGTATATTTGTGGGCGAAATGCCCACAAATTGCTGACTAGATTGTTACTGACTAGATTGCTAAATTCTGGTTCAGCTTCAGCTTTAGTACAATGTTTCCATAGTTGATCAAGCAGAAGATATCAATCACTTTTTCAAGGAATATGGCAGACAGTCAGTATTAATTGGATACTAAGATGTTAATTTTCACTGTAGTTTGGTGAGGTGTGATAATTTAATGCATCTGATATTATTATAGATAATTATTATAGATAATTCCTGTAAAGGTGAAATGTCTATGGAAGTGAACGTGGGAGTCAATTTACATTCAGCAATGCCCCACAAAAACAAAGTTATGTGCTGACATGAAAAATACAACTTTACTCAAAAAACGTAATATATGAGATAAATTTTCCTTTTGGTATAGAGTCGCCACACTTGACAGGAATTCTCCGTGAAGCATTTTGAGACATTGTGAAATTATAAGTGCAATATCAAATGCGTATTTACTCATAGCAATGAGTCAATTATAATAAGAAGATTATTTAGTTTGCCAAGGGTGCTGCTCTTTGAACAGAATATTAATGTTTTACCTTCTGTCACCCCATTCACCTTGAATTTGGTTATGTTTCGTGTGAAATAAACAGATATGAATTAAGTTTAGAATCTTTGGAATTTCAACCGAACAAACAATCAATAAATGTTTCTGGGAATTTTAATAAGAAATTAATCGGTTTCATGTCCTGACTGTTAAGTTTTATAACTGCTTAAAATAACAGGTGGAGTACCATGGCAAAATTAAGGGATTTTTAATCCAAACTTCTGCATTCCTCCCCTCCCCCACCCACAATATTCCAGAGTATCATTGTATCTTTTGTGACCAGATTGAATCAGTGATTTGTGGTTAATGAAGGAATATTTTGTATTTGGTACAAAATCATAATTTTGTACCGAAGAGTCTGAAACATTATAATATTTTAATAGGATTCGTTAATAATAACTCTGAATCACAAATTAGGTTTCTGAGTAACTGAGAATACATCACGCCAATCCAAGGGAACTTTGTTCCAGATGTAGATTATATCATTTCCAATGAGTTGACTTGACACACTTCTAGTTATTGGAAGGTGTCCCTAATTGCAACACAGGAGCCGTTTAGATGAATCACACTAATAATCAACACACTGTAGGAAACTGCACATTAAGCAAAGGATTGTTCCTTTATTCTATTTATATTTATGTAAATTTGAATGAACCTTAGGTCTATTTGGTTCCAATGCTGACAGTCAGTACATTTATGCTGGACACAATTGTTTACTTTCAATTTACATATCCTGTGAAGTGCTTTGAACCATCTCAGCAATGTGATGAGGTCCTATATCAAATGCATGGGTTATTATTCATTATTTATTTTCATTGTCAAAACTGTGATGACACATTTTTGAGCAAACTGGGAAATGGGCTAATCTAATGTTATAAAGTAATAATGCTTGCATTTGATATAGCGCTTTTGATGTCTTCTAGATGTCTCAAAGCGCTTCACAGAATATATATGTTAGGTTCCCTTTTGAACTCCCAGTCCTATCACACACAGTGCACTCCATTCAAATGCATATTGAATAATTGCAGAATTCGCTTAATTGCAGGAAAGATTGTTTACATTGTTTAGCTCTTCATTCTCGATTTCATTCTCACCTGCATAATTAGTTTGGATAATTCCATAGGTTGAAGAGTTGATTGCATGAGGTGTATACTTCCAAGTTCTCACTTGACTTCCAAGATCCTTACCCTCATGACAAATCTCTTCACGCCCTGGCATCTCCCTCTCCAAACTTTATTCCCCACTCCACCACCCACCACCTCCGCTTGGTTGACTCTGGCCTCCTGCACATCCCTCGTCTCCTCTGCTCCACTATTGGCGGCTATGCTTTCAGCCATTATGCCCCAAAACTCTGGACCTGTGTACTTCAATTCCGCCATCGTGCCCCTCCTTCCCCATTTTCAGATCACACCTTAACCTTCCTCTTGATCATGCCTACGGTCACCGGCCCTCTCCCTCAGGCTTGGCATCACCATCTTGTATTGTATGTCCACCACTTTTTCAAGCATATTATGAGAGAAGAGAGGCAGTGATGGGAAGAGAGTCGTAGCGGGAGGTATAAAGAGAGGTAGCGCGAAGAGTGGTAGAGGCAGCATGGAGAGTAATGGGAAGTCGATGGTACTAATGAAATTTGGGCAATTCCATACTCTTTTTAATTGCATACAATTATACGGAGGCCATTGTACAGTCTGGAGGAATTTTCTCATTTTATGTTTTGGTTTTGCTTTTTTCTGAGTTTAACAGACAGGCATTGAAAATCGGTCAGATTACATGTAAGGTTTAGACAAAAGGTAAGGGATGAATTTTTGCATCTCTACTCAGGGGTGGACTACATGGGAAATTGGGATATTTTCCGAGTGTCCCCGCTCGTGCTCCCATGATTGGCACCCTGTGCAACTGAGTTCAGAAGTTGTATTTAATCCCCAACAGAGTTTTTAAATGCAGGGAGGTTTTATGCCACAAATTGGCACCCCAACGAATTTGTATTCCCACCCCCCCCCCCCCCCCACCCAACTCAGCACCTCTATTTTACCTGACAATCCTGTGCCCTTTTGTCCACTACCGACTCTAATATAATCTTTGTCTTCTACATTTCTTCACGTTTCTTCAATGCTGCTTCCCTTTGTCATCAGTTTCTTCTGAATATCACACTGGATACTATTTCACTTGAAGTATGGACACTCTCTACCTGATCAACATTTCTGATTTACCAGTTCAAGCAGGGTTCCTCTCTATCCAAGTCCTTTTGAAGAAGACAAACTTCAGAATATGACTGACCATTGATCTCTTCACTAGTCTGCTTTCTTAGGGCACTTCTTTTCCATTGTCTTTTCAAGTACTCAGGTATTTGTCTTTGGTTTGTTGTGGATGTGAGTCAGAATTTTTAATAGATGAAATTAAGCAGAATTAATCAGCTGTTCTATATGTGGCAGCACCATCACTTCCCTTATCTCTCTTCCCTTCTCAGCCATGCAATGTATGGCTTCTTCCTTGTCAACTCTGGTCTGAAAGCCTTTGCTCCACTTGTGCCTCTGTTCTGTCAAGCATACTCTTTATTGTGTTTTGCCCTTTGCATTCTTCCATGTCGACATGTTTGTTTAAATAATAATGGTCTAGTGCCTTTCATGTCAGGAGGACATCTTAAAGTGTTTCACAAGATATACTGTAAAGTGTAGGAACTGTTTTGTAGGTAAATGTGGTAGCCAATTTAAGCACAGCAGGGTTCCACTCTCTGCATTTAGGTAAACAATCAAGGAGAGAGTGTGCGTTCCATTCCAAACATAGGAATTTCCATGAATAGATTGCATCTAAGTTTAGTTTGGTATTTAGTACCGGTTTTCAAAGTTTTACCAGCTTTAGGTATTGTGATGGATTTCCCTGATTAAACACCTGGCTGACCCCCCAAAAATATAAGTTCCTGAATTGTATCTAATTTTTTCATTGCCTGGACCTATAAATATTGATCTGAATGTTTTCTCCCCACTTGCTGAGCTCCACCTAATGTACCTCCAGTGTTTGTGAGATATTTTGCATTCAATTACAATAAAAGATATTTGTCTCTTCTGTATTGCTCATTCGTTCCTGCAACACATTGCCCACTGCTTTCCTGCTGTTTCCCTCTTATCCTGTCATGCCCAGTTTAAGTATAGAGGCTTTACAGATACTATTTGTGCAGCCTTTGCCTCATTGGTATGCTCCTGTGTACCTTGATCTACGTGGATGTCAAACAGTAAGAAATGCCGGATTCACAATGTACATAAATTCTTTTTGATTGGTTTATAACTTATCGTATGGCCTGACACTACAAGCCTCACAAAGAATATTCCAATGATTAAAATCTATCTATGTAATAGTGATGAACTATTGCATTTAAGAAAATAGGCAGAGTTTTCATGCAGGATGTACATAAATTTTATATAAAATGAGATTAACGGCATTACTAACCTATCAACAATACATATATTATAAAGAAGATTTTGTCATCATTAGTTTAGCAATAGATACTATAAACTGATATTATTTGATCTTGTTATTTGTGCATAGAAAACCATGATTTATTAATAATAATAATCCTTGCATTTGATATAATGCTTTTCATGTAGGGAGGACGTCCCAAAGCACTTCACAGAACACACTATAAAGTGAATTGACTGTATATTTGTGGGCGAACGAATATTCTGGACTTGAAAGTTTAAGACAAATATTATTCACTTTCTTCCAGTGGTCCATCATGCTATTAGTTATCACTTTGATTTGCAAAATGCAGGCTATTGATCATGTAATATTTTGGAATGTTATCAATTATGTGCCTGGCATTACAAAGCATTTGATTTCTGCGAGATGCAAGTTTATTCATTGAATAAGACAACACACAGGCATTGTCGAGATAATATTTCAGCAAATTATGTGCAAGTAAAGAATTTTATATATTTTTGAGCAGATGTTTTAAGCATTTTTTCTTCATCAGACATATAAACCATTTTAATATGTAATTATGATGCCAGCAGATTCCTTCAGCCGAGACACTATTTCAGTAAGAATATATTTTTGTCTAATCTACTATAAAAAAGGCTATAATTTGTTGGCAACCTGATAACTGTTTTTGACAAGATACTGTGCTGCTCATTGGAGCCACACGTCTGTAATTACAAAGAGATGTCCTGTGGTATAAAATGTCGAACATATGTCTGTGGCCTTAATGAATGCACAAGCAGGCAACACCAATGTTAGTAATTGCTTTAATTCTTTGTCCTCATTTTCCAGATAGATCACATTGAACACAGCCATTTAACAATAGCAGTTGAGTTATTCCATACAACATATGCTGTTCTCACCAATTGCCCAGTGTAGCTCTGAGCCCTATGGGGTGACAAAGACTGATCAATGCAGAGCATCAACCCATGGACAGGGGGGGGTTGGAAGGAGGGGAGAGGTGGGGTAGAGCTGGGGAAGTCAGGAACTCAATCAAGTTTCACTCAATTCCATTTCAAGTCAACAAACCTTGATAGCAAAACAAATCCCTCCCGAACACTCCACTGATTAATGTTGTTTGATGTCAAACACATATAATTAGGCAATAATGAGTGGGTGTACATTATGTTGACTATCAGGGCTAGTTGTTGACCTTAGTGACTTCTACTCAAATTAGAAAACAAATAGCTTGGAAGTTCAGTTTAATGATCCTATGCAAATACCTCATTGTTATTCAACTTTACTTACTTTCTGTTTCGTCATTAATTAAAATCTTGAGGTTACGTCTTTATCAAGCTGATGTGCACTTAATGGAAAGCTCTTCACAGAAAATGGGCAGCTGAGTGACTAAATTAAGTTGCTCTTGAGCTATTAGCTCAAGCTGCTTGTCATGTCCACCTCCCCCCATTACCTACGTGGATAATTATTAAACAAGGGTTACGTTTCATTTTGGCTATCAAGATGGGTTAACCTGACATCACTCATATCATCAAAATTGCAGTGCACACATAAAAACTCAGCAATATAGAAACATTTCAAAATATGGAGACACTTTCAAGATATTACTGACAAATACACATTTCTAATTGAGCCACCATACTTCGATGGTTGAATATACTTGAAGGGTTACTTTAAAGCATACATTATCAGCTTGTTAAACAAAATCTGCTTGTGTACACTGCTTCCCACATTCCAACGGGAAAAATGGGGGGAAATAGTGAAATTAAACTCATAGAGTTCGACAGCTACTAAGGCAACATTTGCCAAATACAATATAAGCCCAAATATTTTGCAACACAACTATATATTAATTTAATAAAATACACAATATAGCTTTTAGTACAATTAACAAGTTTGGCTCATATGCACTGATATTGCAATAAATCAATTAAAAAGCTAGATTCAGTGTAAACACTTTATGATTCTTACATTTGCACATCAACATGTTTTGTTTTCTAGTACTTCATGGGCTTTCCCCCTAATGAGCCATTTTAGTGTCCATCTTTAATCCAACAAACAGCTACAAATATCAAACAATATTTCTTAATCTGGGACACAACAGATTTCTCATCATTTGACAATACTATGGTGATGATGCTTTGATACTTTAAATGCTGAAGAGGAATTAAACACGTGGACACTAAAATGTCACTCTTTGGTAGTACATTTTAGAGAATAACCCTTCTGTACGTATCCATAATTAAATATTTTGTGATATGGACAACCAATGGGTGCACTGTTCACTGTAGATAAATCTAATTCATAAAGACATCTATTTCAGTTGATAATAACACTATATTCTGAATTAAAGGCTTGCTATGTTTTCTGGAAAGCCGATACCTGGTTTTTGTTCTAACATCACTGCCCTTTGCTGATATGTGTTAAATACTCTGTTCACAATGATATCATTCAATGTAGCATTGATCGGACTGGTTAACTTGCCAAACCTAGACTTTCCATTCTTTAACCTGGGGAAGGGCATCTATCAGATTGTCGAAACTCAAACCATGAGTGAAACGTATCAGCTTTTCATATAATTCCAGTGAATGTGCCAGTGGTTTGTTTTGTGGGACACAAAGAATGATGAAAAGTGCACGCGTGGGCACTTTGAATTCTAGCTTAGAGACATTAACCAGCATCTTCTTTCCTTGTACTGTGCTACTGGTCTTTCATCATCTGAAAAAAATGCTGCCACAAAACATTTAAGTATATCTTCCTTTAGAAGAAAGGTAGTTAACTGTCACTACAAGTGCAGTATCACTTCCTCACAGTTGAAGGGTCACTTCCTCGACAATCTTGTAAAAGCTTATCAATTTCTCGAACCACCTGTTCGGCATCCACTGCCTCCCGTCCTAGGTCTCGGTTAGAGGGATCAAAGTGGTCCAGGACTGTGTCCACCTCATTCAAATCCCGGCCACCTCTGGAGTGAACATCAGCAAAGACGGTAGCCACTGCTTCAGGAGAAATGAAGTGACTGTCACGCTGTTTATCAGATGATGGGTAGTGGGCGTCAGATGTTAAATACTGGTTGGTTGTTTCTGCTGATGTTTTGGCCATTCTTTGCTTCATCTCAAGCCCATCAATTGCTCTTTTTGTTGAGCTGTTACTACTTGCCACAGATACCTTGTCGGGGCTACTCGCACCTGAAGAGACCTCTTGCAAAAGAGGACTTAGAGCACGTTTCGCTTTTAAATAGGGTTTTACATTCGCAATGAGAATGGTGTGCTCTCGTTTGTCCTTTCCAAAAGTACAGAAAGTTTTTTTCCCAATGGGGGTTGTGTTCTCATGAGTTTCAGATTCAACTGTGGCATCTACTACTGGTACAAAAAGATTCCTGCGATAGTCCGAACATTCAGCCTGGGTGGAAACAGGGAATTGAGGCATCCAGCATTTGTCTGAATGACCTAAGACTCGGCACTCATCTGTGCAATTGACGCAATCCTCCTTCTCTGTTAAAAAAATAAAACAAACAACTGGTTATATCTTAGAGAACATATCACTTTAACATTCATGCTTAAATATATGCCTATAATTAGTAGTCCAATTAGCTGTTCCAGGTAGTGAAATGAGAATTAGGAGGCAGGGAATTAGGTAGCAGCCCGAGAAGTCTGCTTTTTTTCAAGAGATTAAATAATTATGACTCAGATGTAAATTGTGTTAAATTGCAAGAGGTGACCTTTCACATTGCACATTCGTTCGATATGTAACAACATTTTATTTAAATGCCATGCTAAAAAAGAACTATTTAAAATACGCTGAAATGGTTCCAAGAATTCAGAGAACTTAGTAAAGAAAAGAAGCCAAATTAATAATCTTGAACAATATTCTATTGAGACTATGAAATAAATCTGAAAGTAGAGTGTTAGCAGTTGAAAATGATGTCCTAGCTAAGACGTAAAATGTTATTCTTTCATTTAAATTCTTATTCCAGTCATTAAAATCTGTCCTCTTTGTGCTTTTCAATGGCCCCATTTTCTATTGTATAATGCTTTGATGATTGATAATGTACAACTATCAAGCAACAGTATCTGCATATTTCCATAATAATTTCTTCAAGAAATTATAGCAGTTTATGTATTAGTAAGAAGCTGAGCAAGACCTTTATGTAGAACCTGAGGAAAGTACTAGGCTACAAAGATCATTGTGGCGGGTCCTATTATGAGAGAAATCATGATCTGCACTCTCCATCTCTTTCTCCCACCCCTGTAATGATTTATTTACTAAATAGCAAACTAATTCTCTCTAGAATCTGCTGACAGAATCTGCCTCCCAGTTTTTCCAAAATAACGGCAGTGAAATACAATGATGGTTTCTAAGGAAGTTTTGCAGAAATGTGGCCACTAATTTCTTACTGCAATGCCATGTCACTTATCTGCAATAACCCAAATCTCCAGTGATGATGCAGTAAGTAATAATGTGAAGGTATCATTTTAGTTTGGGCACTAAATCTGGAGGATGAAAGTCATCAGATCAGTAAGTATAAACCACCAAGGTCAGATCTTTTGGCCAAACAACAAAAATTTACATTTATATAATGACTTTCACCTCAGGAGGATGTCTCAAAGTGCTTCACAAAACTCATTAGTAGCCCAAGCTGGGTGTGAGGTGGTGGGGGGTCATAGGGGAGGGGAAATGTGACAAAAGCATGGTCAACGAGATTTTAAGACAGTAAGGGAGCGGGCAAGGTGAAGGGATTCCAAAATAGACCAGAGAGTGGGCAAAGTGGCTGAAAGCTTGCCAGTCAATGGTAAAGTGGATTGGGCGGGAACGTGAAGCAGGGCAGTTAGGGATGCAGGAAATCTCAGACAAAGAGTGAGATGAGGCCATGGAGGCATTTCAAAGTTAGGACAAGAATCTTAAATTCAATCCATTGGGGTTGGGGAATCAGTGGAGTTGAACGAGGATGTAGATGATGGATTCATGGGTTACATAGTTCTGGATTGTCTGCAGCTTGTGGAAGGAGGATCTGGAGAATGTGGGAATATGGCAAGCAGGGCACGAGAGTAGTTGAGTCTGGAGGTGATGAAGGTGTGAATGAGTGTTGCAGCAGCCTGGGGTGAGATGGCACTGAGCAAATCAGGAGACCCTCAGTACTGTAGACATTGAGCTGCAGAAAGACCGAACTCATCCTGTATTTGATGTCTAACAGGCAGTCAATCAGAAGATAGTGTCAACTGTGTACATGGTGAAGTAGCTAATGCTTATGGATTATGTCACCAAAGGGGAGCAAATTGATCGTGAAGTGGAGAGGAAAAAGCTTATAACCCTTAGAGTTCCGAGGGATACAACAGGGATACTGCCCTGGGATGCTACCCTGAGTGAGGGGCGTTATGTAAATACAAATTGGTGTTATTGTTGCATGTGCAGGGGTGTGAGGAGAAGCCATTGTAGGAGACAAAGTGAACGTACTGGGACAGGCAAAATTGAAACCAGAAAAGGATAGAGCCAAGGGAATAGAGCACTGTGTCAGTAGAAAGGAGAGGTTGATGATGTTGGCTAGCAGGGGGGCAAGGAGGGGAAGTTACATGGAAAGGAGTGATGAGGGAATGTGGTCAAGAGATTAGGTGGTGGCTGGTTTAATTTCTGTATTTACTAATTAATGCAAAAATGCACGAATTATTCATGTAATTCTTTGTTAGGTTCTTTTAAATCAGTTCCTAGATAATTTGGTAAGGTTTCAATCAGTCCTGGAAATTACAAATATGAATCATATAGCAAATCCTTAATATTAATATAATTATAATAATGTGAGCAGTAATGCAGCACTGAATAGGGCATGGTTGGTTTCTTTTTTGTGATTCTGTTCCTAATAGATGCTTTTTTTTATCATGGCTGGACTGTCAAGTGTAAAATAGTCTACATACCAAAGTGCTTCACAGGATTTACTATAAAGTGTGGTGACTGTATATTTTGTAGGCAAGTGCCTCCAAAATTTTCAATTATAAAAAATATAGGGGCAATGGGGTAGGAAAAGGTAAATGTGGGGGCCGGGGGGGGAGGAGGTGGCTTCTTGAAGGGACTGCTAGCAAAACTGAACAGGTCAGCCATAATCCAAGGCAGATTCAGAGATGGCAAAATGCCCTAATCCCTGCAGGACACAGCCTAACGAATATGTTACTGTTAGCCGGACAAATACATTAACTGCAATATTCAGTTACAGAGCAAAGTTATCTTGCGTATGGTTGCAAATGCAATTTGATGCACACTCATTTAAAAGAGGGGAATAAAATTACATTTAAAATGGGGCAAAATAAGTTAAAAATATTAAACATTGTGTGCTGTTCTTTGCAATTAATTAGACTGCACAATTCAGAGTAGGCTAAAGGATCATTCATCCAAGTAATTCATTGCTCCTCATAGGCCTGTTACATGACTGAAATTGAGCTTTATCTATTAAATTCTAGTTAATCTGGTGATGGGACTGTTCAACAAGAAGCATCTGGTCAAGTCATCACCTTGCCTGGAGTCAGAGCCCACTGCCTCCCTCATCAACCTTTTAACTTGAAAAGAAGGTATTACAATCTTCACTAATTTGGATATCTTTAAAGCAGAAGGTAAACTTTAAAGCTTTAAAGGGCTTATATTATTGCACCTAATGTTTTATCTCGTATATCATTTTTACAGAGCTGGTGAGTCCTCTGCTTTCACAGTAAAGCAGTCAGACAGACGTGTAGTACCAACACACTAATCAGTAAAAGCTCAACTGAGATGGGGGGAAAAACAAATAATAAAACAAAAAACCTGTGTCTGAAAACACATTAACACCACTGCTAGCAGACTCCATAGGAATCCCTCTACCCTAATGCTGCTCAAGCATTTGTGCTCCACTGAGAAAATGGAATTCTTAAAAACATGATTATTTTCAGAACAAACTGTTAGAATCAAGAAATAACTCCCAGTGAGGGGAAGTGCTTTCATTCACAGTGTTTATCCTAGCGTTACCTTTTTCTTTAAATGCCATTGCTAGCTGTACGTGAGCGAACACAAATACCCCAGAACAATTATGGTAATATGTGTGTTTCACTGGGCACTTTTGAAATGAGAACAAGGTACTTGATGGCACCATTAGGTGCTTTCATTTGTGTGCTTAAAAAACAGAATGCTAGCATTGTAATTATGGTCTGTCATTTTTTTACTGCAATTTAGGAAGCAATATATAATCTACGTTCTCCAGTTTATACTGTCTGAAACATTCTGTATACTGTGTAAAATATGGTGTAAAATAGCTAACTATCTCATTCTTCATGTTTATAAGTACAAGGAATGGATTAAAGGAATGACCTTACATTTTTTGCTATTATTTAATTCCTGAGTTCAAACTTCTGATAATTCTGTAGAATTACAATGGCCTACATCATCCATTTTTCTGCAGTTCAGTTCACAACTAAGACTCAATTTAAGAATTGTTTAAAATTCTCCAACATCTCAAGTTTTAAGAAATGGTCTCAAGATTGAGAAGTTTCTTCTGACTTACCTATTTGATTTATTGGTGACTATTTCATATTTATGGCCCCTGGTTTTGGTCTCCCCACAAGTGGAAACATCTTCTCTAGGTCTACCCTAACAAAACCTTTCAAAATTTTAAAGACCTCTATTAGATTACCCCTCACCCTTCTCTTTTCAAGAGAAAAGTCCACGCTTGTTCAGCCTTTCCTGATAGGTATAACCTCTCAGTTCCGGTATCATCCTTGTAAATCTCCTTTGCACCCTCTCCAGTACCTTTATATCCTTTTTATAATATGGGGTCCAGAACTGCACACAGTATTCCAAGTGTAGTCTAAGCAAGGTTCGATATAAGTTTAGCATAACTTCCCTGCTTTTCACTTCTATCCCTCTAGAAATGAACCCTAACATTTGATTTGCATTTTTTATGGCCTTATTAACCTGCATCGTTACTTTTAGCTATTTGTGTGTCTGTACCCCTAGATCACTTTGCTCCTCTACCCCATTTAGATTCTTGCTTTCCAGGCCGTATGTGACCTCCTTACTCCTATCAAAATGTACCACCTCACACTTATCTAAATTAAAATTAATTTGCCAATTAAATGCCCATTCGACAAGTTTATTAATGTCTTGTAATTTGTTGCAGTCCTCCTCAGTGTTAACTACACTCCCAATTTAGTGTTCTCCAAAAATTTTTAAATTGTACTTTCGATGCACGAGTCCAAATCGTTAGTGTAAATAATGGTAAAGAGTTCATGATGCTCAGTAGAAACAGTCAAGTTAGTCTAAATGAGATGATTTTACAGATGAAGAGGTGGACTACCAGCAGCAGAACTACAGTTAGTTAAAAACTTGACTCATTTGGTAGCGCTATCATGATCTGAAGGTTGTGGGTTTGGTTCAAGACCCAGGTTGACACTTGAGCTCAGTCTGGGCTGACACCAACAAATCACATTTATATAACACCTTTTATGTCGGAAGGATGTCCCAAGATGCTGGACAGTCA